CATGCTAAGTTCAGCATTAATTGAAGAACGCTGTTTTGTGTGAAAATAAAATTTTTTTCTAAACTGTGGCTCAGTAAGTCAAGGTGTCAGTTCAAATTACCACCCCAGAGGAACCTCTGGTACATGCACTGAGAAAGAAAGCTCTGAACCGATGCGGCTATTGACGTAAATAAGTCTGTTTCTTTCGTGTAAAGCGCTATTTTCTTAGTTAAATCTCAGGCAGAACATTTATGAAGAGTGGTTACAAAGTGCGCCTTGGCTGAATGTCGTTAACTTTTCTCCTGACACAATATGATTCGGCCAAAATAAAGTTTGCTGCTGCTTATTTCATGTTTGCCATTCTCGGAAGTCAACGTTTCGCTCTGTGAGCGATCAAATGTGTCGTCATCAAGGGGACTTTTTCGGTCAGCTGAACTGACAAACCAGGCCTCCCATCAACAATACAGGCAAATTCATTTACTTTGGCCTAAAGTGTTTTTCCGGTTGTCAGCACCAATCACTGTAAGGAAGAAAACAGGGATCGTGGTTGTCCTCGGCAGGCATTTCATTCTCGATAACTAGGCAACGTGCGCAGGTCATGCCCATCCAGGTCGGCGTGAGCTAAATCTCTAAATTGTTGAGAGTTTAAGCAACATGCACTTTGGTCGTTTCTGGTCCAGCGACACTCGATTCTTCCTCATTTTCAGGGCGCACTTATTTGCTGGTGTTTTAAATAAATGCAGAAAACGCTTTAGAGTTCTTTCGCTCATATGATCGTTTCCACCATACCCGAAATGACTATAGTGACCCTGTCCACGCCCACAAAGACATGAACTGTTTGCCTTAATGCCCCTACCGCAAGCGTATTCCCATTAAGACGCCTTCTGAGACGTCAGTTCCAGCAGGCGACAAATAGCTGCCGATTACCGGAAAATGTCGGGAGCGTTAGCGTTAACAAGAAAACAAGGTTCATGTTATACCGGGACACGGATTGAGTGTGACGTTTGAGACCGCCTAGAATTAGGATGTAGCCATTTTTTCTTAAAACGTGAGCATACTTAAAGTGGAAGGCATCAACTTCCGGCAAATGGGTTCCGTTTGCTTGAGGCATGCCGTCATCCTTCTGTAGATGGCGTCTTTCCACACTTTGCCAATCGGTTCAGAAGGACAAAGAAAGTGTCAGCATAATAAGAGATCAGCGACCATTTTTCACATTTTTTCCCATAAAATATGACCACAAACATTTGAAGTAAAGCTCAGTTTGGCGCATCATGAAGTGAGAATCGGGTCCCCTAACATATCTGAAAGTACATACTAGACAGCGTGGTTTCTGACAATGACTGTCAGAATACTAGAGCCCTTCTACTGTTTGCGTATATAATGCAGTTATTTCAATTTCTCACTGAATTTAGTCTCATAACAAATCTAGAACACCGCCCACGACTATGATGAAGTACGGTTTAATTGCCGTCGCAGGGAACAAAGAGGAGCTCAATCCCTGAAAATCTAATCTATTTAATTTGACACCTGCATGACATACCACCGACGCCCCTGTTTCATAAATGCGCTTGATTCTGGCACCTTATACATGTCATTCGAATCTATGGTTAGTTTACTCGAGTACTTCTTTACCTCTCATGACCTTGCAGTAGAATTTGGGAATATCAAACTCTTTTTACTTTAATCAAGCCATGCGCGCCTAACGGACGCGCGAGCACTTCGTTAACAAACGGCCCGTTAGGCATGCTTTTGCGTTACTGATTGTTGGCTTAAGTGAGCAAGGAAAAATGAGACGAATCAGCCACTCACTTCAAGTTTCGAGACCACTTCCTCTTAGTCGTAATCATAAACTCCGCCTGCCTACGAGCATGCACGTCGTTCGGAGAACACACTTTTGGATAAGGGCATCTGGTGGGACTTAGGAAGTAGCAAACCCACGTGAGACGACCATCTGAGCCGCGTAAATACGCAGGGAGTTCTAAGCTATCCGCGAAAATTTGATTACTATTATGTGCATGCCATGAAGGAGTGTAATTCTTGTTGTTCATAGTCCTCTGAAGGGCGTAATTGTGAACTGTTGAGTCTGAACATGAAAGAAGGCTTTGTATAATTGGAGTCAAAACTGGAGACAAATTAGACAGAGGGATTAAGTGAGTCGGAGAGGGTTACTGCATTCGATGAACACACAATCAAACTAATGCTCTGAAAATCCCCCAGTCAGTGTTCTCCGCCAGTCTTCCTCATCGTCGTCGTCCTCCTTGGCATCACTCTTCATTCCTCTTCTATCTCGTTGCCTCCAATATCAAATGAAATTTCGTTTGGAGAATAGGAGCTTAATCCTTGTTAGTCCACTGTTACTGTACCCCTCCCCGGATCGGCCCACACTATTATCAAATTATTCCGGGAAGTGAGAAGGAGGAATATAGAGTGCTGAGATGGGAGAGTGGCAGGCCATGGTGTTTCACGGAAGCACATGCATGCATTGAAATATTCATTCTTTCGCTCATTCGGTACAAAATACGTCTTCTTCCGATTTTATACTCGATAAAGGGATGTCATTCAGTTTTCAAAAAGTTTCTACTTGTGAGATTTTTTAATACCGTGAAATGGCCGTTCGTAAAACGTCATGTCTTTGCATTTACCACTGTGGCTCGTAAAGTTAACAATACGGATCATATCGAATGCTAAATTTTATGAACGCGATTTGGTCTCCTCTTAATACCGTGGTTTTCCATATGCAGAAAATACATGGCTTGTAGTTTTGATACCCTGAATGCAAGTGTGACAGTAGAGCGGGTTCAAAATTATTCCCGAATTGGAAAAAGTTTTTAAAACCGAATAATACCCTTCCTGCGAGCATATAATTAGAATGAGACGTAATTTTCTGCCGAACGGGCGAAGGAACAAATATTTTTAGGCATGTTTTCCATGAACTATGATTAGACTTATAAAGGCATCGAAAATCAATGAGAAAAATACATGCTAATTATGTGGTCATTTTTTACTGATTGTAGCTTTTGCACGCAGCCGGAATGAAGTTCTTTCGAAAGCAGGCATCCTGAGGTAACTGGATTATCATATAATTATACTGCAGAGGGATTAGTTTTACAAACCTACTTAATTAACTTTTTTCGAAAGAAAAACGCATTTCGGAATTTCAGTTGACATTTCATGAGTTAGCCCACGAACCATGCATGGATGATCGGCTTTTGTGCACACACCTGCGTGACAAAAGCTTGCCTCATCAATCACTACGCGTACAAGTAAGTCCATCTGTCCGGTAAACAGTCAACAAGTTTCGCTAGAATACTAGGGTCTCATAAAAAGATAAGACTTATCGCATATTCAGGTGCGCCACTGAATGGGCTGTCATAGTCGGTCAAATTGGATGACATTCTTTTGCTTCACTACAACTCCCCGCTAACTGGTTGAAGTTACCGTTTGATAAACAAACAATTTAGGCAGACCGTCTTCAGGCATTTAAAGTTAGAGGTTACAATTCCATACATCCAAGTCGTGTCCTCCACTGTTCAGACAGATTTCCTCGACATTACGCCTCTTAGTATACAGAACCTACCACCGCCTCTACTGCCACCGCTGCCGACGTGATGGAATTGATTGCCCATTCATAGAGTCTGCCCTCCAGAAATCTGCACTTCTGGCTGACGTCTGCGAAAATGTCAGTAACTGGCTGTGCTGACAGAATGTCTTCGCACATTAGGGCTAGTGTTAACACGGGTCTTCAAACTTCAAACTAAACAATTATCAACAAAAGTTACTTGCGGGAATTTAGACATCAACCGAGAAGCCAGATGTCGGCTAAAGGAGTAGTGTACACTGTCGGACACCAATTATGTCGGTAAGAATGGGCAGCGTAAAAAACTAATTCGGCATCGTAATAGTACTGTGTGATAAACAAAATGTGCAGCAAGTCTCGGCTACACCTAAGTTTTTTATTCAGACATTGTAGTCCCGGGTGCAATAAGATAACTGGTTCTCGACCGGCATTTTGTGAAGAGGAATACTACCAATTTGTAAATAGACAGTATAAAATCTGGATCCCATCCTCGTTTCTAGGGAGAACTACAATCGTTCATACCTGACTTGGACGCAACATCCTATTTTCCAGTTCCAGAAAGCACTTGATAGTAGTTTTCCTCTACGGAGAAACACAATCGCACATGCAACCCTAGCCTGCGACAACCCCTTTTATTAAAGGTCACCTGGATACAGGAAACTACCAATTTTTACCTAAATGTGTTATGTCTTCATAACAAAGGATATCAAAACAAACTCTCCTTGAGCTCGGGAAAATTTTACATCTCCAGTGAAGGCAGTAAGTAAAACCGACGTTTTCCTGTGCACTCCCCGCTAATCTTTTATATTTCCGCCAGAGCAATTCAAAAATTGCGTCGCCTAAGTCATACGTTTGTACATACATGCATATCAATTTAGGCATAAAAGGCAATCATTATACTTTTCTGAGTTTTTGAGCTTAACATTAAAATTTCCGGAAATACAAATTTCACTCGTTATGTGCAGTGCAAATACCAGGAACAATAATAAAGACTAGGGAAACCATTTTTGTCTTAGCAGTGGACATCACACAACCGCATCCAGGTCTTATGTTTGGATAACTCGCAGTTCGAACCAGAATTATTTGATAATTTGATGTTTGTTCAGGTTTTCTATCATTATGTCGCATGCATTTAGTTTGGCTCGCATGAGGCCTCAAGAAATGGGCTAGTTCAACGGCTAGCCAACCGTCCAGTCGCCGCCGTCGCCGCTGACGACAACACCTCCGTGGAGAATTGCGGGACACAGTCCAGTCGATGGCCCTGGCTGCCTTCGGTCGCGTACGTCGACAACACCAGGACTGGCTCGATGACAACGAAGCCGCCGTCAGCAACCCGCTCGCCGAGAAGAACCGACTGCACAAAACCTGCGTCAACCGCCCGACCGATGACAACAAATCAGCCTTATAACGTAGTCGCCGCCTTGTACGACAGCGGCTACGCGAGATGCAAGACGCTTGGACGGCTAACAAAACCGAGGAGATCCAAGGGTACGCGGACCGCAACGAATGAAAGAACTTCTTCGCCGAAATCAAAGCTGTCTACGGTCCGACGACCAAAGGCACTGCTCCTCTCCTCAGCACTGACGGCAGTACCCTCCTGACCGAAAAGACCCAAGTCCTACAGCGATGGGCCGAGCACTTTCGAGGCGTCCTCAACCGCCTCTCCACCATCTCTGACGCCGCCATCGCCCGTCTGCCTCAAGTTGAGACCAACGTGGACTTCGACCTCCCGCCCTCTCTCCATGAAACAGTTAGGTTCGTACAGCAGCTCTCCAGCGGACGCGATCCCTGCTGAGATCTGCAAGCACGGTGGTCCCAAACCCATGGATCACCTGACTGCGCTCTTCCAGGGGATGTGGCGTCAAGGTGAAGTCCCGAAAGATGTCAAAGACGCAACAATCGTGCATCTATACAAGCGAAAAGGAAACCGCCAACTCTGCGACAATCACAGTGGCATCTCCTTGCTGAGCACCGTCTTGAAGATCTTGGCTCGCATCCTTCTCAACCGTCTGAATAATCATCTAGAACAGGGCCTTCTAACGGAAAGCCAGTGCGGCTTCCGCCGCCATCGCACGACCACGAATATGATCTTCGACGCCCGTCAACTTCAGGAGAAGTGCCAGGAGATGCGGACCAACCTGTGCTCTACCTTAGTGAACCTGACGAAAGCCTTTGACACGGTAAACCGTGACGGTCTGTGGAAGATCATGCAGAAATTCGGCTGTCCCGAACGATTCATTCAGATGGTGCTTCAGCTGCACGACAGCATGATGGCGCGAGTCACGGAAAACGGAACTGTCTCAGAGGCATTCGCAGTGACCAACGGAGTGAAGCAGGGTTGTGTGCTGGCGCCCACCCTCTTCGGCCTTATGTTCTCTGCCATGCTGATGGACGCCTATCGTGATGAGCACCCCGGGATCAGTATCGCACACAGGACGGACGGTCACCTTCTGAATCAACGGCGGATGTCCTTCCAATAGCGCGTATTCACAACATTCGTTCACGAACTTCTCCTCGCCGACGACTGCGCCCCCAACCCCACCTCGAAGGGGGACATGCAAAGGAGCATGAACCTCTTCACCGCCGCCTGCGTCAACTTCGGCACAGCCATCAACACTGAGAAGGTGGTGGTTATGCATCAACCGCCTCCTGGCACCGCCTACGTCGCGCTTCAAATCAACGTGAACGGCGCCCAACTGCAAGTCGTGGATAACTTTACCTACCTAAGTAGTACCCTTTCCCGCACCATCAAAATCGATGACGAAGTGGCCCGCAGGATTTCGAAAGCCAGTCAAGCCTTCGGTCGTCTGCAAAACAGTCTGGAATCGCCACGGTCTCCACCTCAGCAGCAAACTGAAAGTGTACGAGGCGGTCATTTTGCCGACGCTGGGATTATAGTTAATGGTTAGGGTTAGAGTCAAGGGTTATAGCAACTATTTCTCAACCATTGAAAGTACAACCACGCACTTCCAATAGCTTTTCTTTTGCATGCAACTACTTCACCTCGTTGTCTGTGTTCCCCGGCTCCAACTGTAAAAACCCCTATTATTAGCGGTCCCGTATTAGAGGTGACTGAGGTTTGCTTACTTCAGGTGGGGATACTAAACAGCATCCGACCGGACGGTGTACAAGAAGGAGGTGCGGGGAATCAACCAATTCCACTTCAGCTGTCTCCGACGGACATTGAAGCTGAGATGGCAGGACCGGATGCTCGACACGGACGTACTGGAACTGATGGGACTCCTCAGCATCCACGCCATGCTGAGACAACTGTAACTGCGCTGAAGCGGCTACCCAAACGACCCTTTGCTGAGATGTCGCCACGGGTTTCCGCCGACAGAGAGGCCAAATCCGTCGCTAGAAGGATACTCTGAAGACCTCGCTGAAGCGCCTGCAAATCAACCTGGCCAGCTGGGAGGACCTCGCTCGAGGCCGACCGACCTGGAGGAGGACGGTGAAGACCGGCGCAGCGGTCTACGAAGCCAAGCGCATCACTGCCGCCAAAGCCAAACGCGGGGATTGCAAATCTCAACTAAGCCCACCTCTCATCGCCAAGTCTCAACCACCCCGACCTGCTCACGCTGGCAGCGGACGTTCCGGGGGTGTGGAGTGGGGCACCAATATGCGGGCTCGGCCATGCCATCCGCCTGCGCGCTCCCCCGTCTCCGGTCTTCTTAACTCTCTCTTACTACCGGGTCCATGTAGGGGAGGAGAAGAGAGAGTGCGGTGGATGCTGTGCAAGCCTACGTTCACTATTAAATAAACCACGCGCAAGTCACCGTGATCTACTTCACCTTGCTGTGGAGCACACGGTGTATATCGATGGCAGCGGCGGTCAAAGTGTCTGGCTTGGCTGATGAGAGCAGATATGACCAAACGACAGTTCGACCTGAGAGCGGACTTGCGAAGCATCTACCGCACTCCCTTCTCCATCACTGGACTGAACCTGTACATGGACATACCGCCCACACCCCCAATTTTGGTGTTTCTTATAGTCGCGCATTCGCGATAACGCCTGTTGGACTCCGACCGAGTCCCCGTGTTGGTCCATCGCATCTACCGCGTGGGCCCTTTAAAGAGGCGCAAACGGGCATGATAATAATTGTGGAAGGGACATTTACTGACATTTGATTGCAGTATGGGACACGCTCGTTCCGTTGTGCCTTGAGCTCCAACCCTGAATATTCGCATGAGTACGTGTCGCTATGCGACTGACTGCGAGTGTCTAACTTTGCTGTTTCAAGGTACTATCGGAGGAGCAGGCTTTAAACAACAACCGAACCAGTGAGCGACCATTTAACGCAGACATTTCATCAACACTGGGCAATTTGCATCCTCGTCTCCATTTGTTTTATATACTCACATGTTAAATACTTTATTTTTTATTACACTGAACGTATTATACGTCGACATTTTGGTATGAATTAGGCAGGACTGGCCGACAACAATTTTCATCATTAAGAAAATTTTTCACCGGCTCCTAGCCTAATGTAAATAACGCGGACCTCCTTGAGGGAAGACGTCCACTGTCTTACCATGGAGAGGGCGCAGGAGCGTGACGTGCGCGTGAATTGGTTTTGAGTTGGATGATCTTGCGCAGCATCTGTCTCACTCTTCTCCCTCACCCAATTAAATCCAGTAAGAAGTCAAACTCAAGACGACGTTCGAAAGTACCCGATCGACTCCCTAAGCTAACCGTTAATTGCTTGACTTCGGCAGCAGTTTTAAGCAAGAGCGAGTCCAATGAATCGAGGAAATCTTTAAGATTCCATCCAAAGTAAACAACCAATTATCTTCTACGGAGTGTAGTAGAGTTCATTTTCCCCTGTCCTCACAAACAACTTTTCTGTTCAAATTCAGCGGCGCGTCGGGCATACTGTATTATTCTGGGACCCAGGCGTTGTATGGTTGTATGGAAGAGCCCGGGTTAAAATGACTGCTTAAAGGGGACGTTTGAGGTTAGGCTTCCAGTTGCTTGCATGCTTAAGACAGCTAGGTCACCTATTTGTTTGTAAGTTGCGTTTTCACACTGGAGCTCTTTGAGTAGTAGGACGCCACCGCTTCACTGCGACCAGAAATGCCTTTAATGTACTGGAAAAGCTGAAACTTCCATTCAGTACAGAATAAATGCTTGTTTAGTCTCCAAATCAAGCGGTTTTCTCCCATCAGACATGCACACTTGAGCAGAAATTCCACATCCTCCAGGGACGTCAAAGGCAATTCATAGTGTGCTGCCTTTTCTCATGAAAAATTCATTGTCAGCAAAAGGTGGGCCAATATCTGTCGCAGAATAATAGCCGCTGATGTAACACAGATGGACTGAGAAGCTTCTTGTTGCTATTAAACGAATTACCCCCTAGAGGTCCATATCGTATGCACACGCGTCTTAATTTACAGTAGGTGGTGCAACTCCTGAAATGTCGACCGAAATTCCGAAATCCGTTATCCTTTCGAAAAGATTACTTAAGAGGAGTTGAAAACTATTCACCCTGCAGCATAATTCTATAATAATTCCATCACCTCAGGTTGCCGGCTTTCGAACGAATTTTTTTTGCAACTACATGCAAAAACTATACTCTGTAAAAAATAAACACTTATGTAGCATGCATTTTTCTCATTGATTTTCGATGCCACTAAAAGTCCAATTATAGTTCATGGAAAACACAAATAAAAGTAGATATAGATGAGATGGAGCCGACAAAGACAAGGGAGACCGGAATGGCCATTTTGGACTTATTAGCCGTCATCAGTCAGTCATACCCAACCCCACGTGTGGATCATTCGAGATTCGAACCCGGGATCTTTGGTCATGGAGTTTGACGCTCTACCATTGAGCCACGGGCCCGTTGTCCTGTCGGTTGTGATCGGGAATATTAATTATGATAGTGGGCGCTCGCCGATCAGCTTACGGAACATGCTCGTTGCGTTGTGCCTTGGGGCTCATACTAGAACCCTCGCAGGCAGTCGCACTTGGGGTTGGGTATGACTGGCTGATGACGGCTAATAAGCCAGAAATGGCCATTCCGGTCTCCCTTGTCTTTGTCAGCTCCATCTCATCTATGTCTACTACTAGTCGCTGTGCGACTGCCTGCGAGGGTTCTAGTATGAACCCCAAGGCACAACGGAACGAGCATGTTCCGTAAGCTGATCGGCGAGCGCACACTGTCATAACCAATAAAAGTATCCATTTTTTGCTCATTCGGTAGAAAAAGACTTCTTCATTCAATTTTATACTCAGAAGGAGAGCATAATGCGGTTTTTAAAAACCTTTCCAATTCCCGAATAATTTTGAACCTGACCTGCCGTTACACTTACATTCAGGGTTTCGAAACCACATGCCGTATATTTTCCGTGTAAGGAAAACCATACATTTCTCTACGGTATTAGGAGGAGACCATGTGGGGTTCATAAAATTTAGCAGTGGATTTGAGCCGTATCGTTAACTTTTCGAGTCACATTGGTATATGCAGAGACACGGCGTTTTATGAAGGGGCATTTCACGATATTAAAAAATCTCATAAATTAGAAGCTTATTTAAAACCGAATTATAACCTCCCTTCAACTATAAACTTGCAAAAAGACGTCATTTTCTACTGAATGAGCAAAAGAATGAATTTATTCATATATGCCTTCCATGAAATATAATTGAATTTTTATGGGCATCGAAAATCAATAAAACTGCATGCTATTTAAGCGTTACTTTTTTACAGAGTACAGTTTTTGCATGCAGCCGGAATGAAATTCCTTCGAAAGCCGGCATCCTGCGGCAAATGAGTTATTATGGAATTAGGTTGCACAATCATTAGTTTTACAACCCCAATTAATTACTCTTCGAAACAAAAACGCATCTCGGCATTTCGCTGACATTTCTTGAGTTAGCCCACCTACTGTAACTAGGACCAAATTCATTCAGAGCTGATGGGTAACTTGCAGTGAACTGACGCAATTACCGTGGACTGCATGTTGTCGATTGGAGATGTGTAAGAAACACACCTTTTCTGCAACCCTGGAAAGGATGCCAGCGGAGAAATTCCAACAAAGTGATATCAGTTTCCGGCTGACTTTCCCCTCATTCCCCAACCTCAGTTTTGGGAACCTGTGCTATACTAGAGCCAGCAGCGCGCAGCCTAGCCGAATTTCACAGCCTTACTGGCCGATCCACATGGTCGTGTTTTGCTCTTGTGGCCGAGACCTTTCTCAGTTCCCAGTCCCTCGTCACCGTATGCGAGTTCCATATTGGCACTGGCCTTTGTGTAAATGCAGAATGAAAAGAATGTGGCCAGCTCCGTGAATAAAAAAAGTCGATGCGCGTCAGCAAGCACACAGCGTTACCAGTTTTCGTCGTTATCGAGATAGCGACGAACAGAGTTTGTCTTGAATTCACCCAAAAGGCACAGCCCGTGTCGACTTGTAAAGAAAAATCATGTAAGTATGAAAACGTATGAATGCTAATTAAGCGCTCTTTGTATGCTCAATCTGTTCGTTGAGAGCGAGTAGCACGCTGTTGGATGTAAGAGGCCCTCACTGTCAAAGGGATTTTAATATCACTGGACTAACGCGCATTATCATGGCCTCTAAATTAAAGTGAATTTCCCCTATATGCAGGGAT